AAAAATAATTTAAAAAAAATAAAAAATGAGGAAGGGAGAGAAAGAGGAAAGAAGTAGGATGGTAAGCAGAAAAAAGTTCTGGAGCTTTTTCTAATCAAAGTGAAATAATAAATACAGCTGAAGCTCTTATCATGGTCACACAAAAAATCTGCCATTTTTCAATAAACTTTAAGAATCAGTTCATATAGCATCATAAATAATGGCACAAAACTTTGTCCCTAGTGCCATTTCCCAATTGCCCCAAAGAAATTTACAATCTTCCTTTCTACCATATAAGTTGTACTTGTAAGAAGAAAATGTCAATTCTACAGATTTTACAGATGAAAATATGAGTAGGCCACAGAGAGTTCAAGACTCTTGAGGGCCCTATGTAGACGTGTTGGTTTTCCTGAGGTAAAAGCCGAGTCTTCTATGTATTAGAATGCTGGTTTCCATAAATGGAAAAATAATATAGAAAACAAAATATCTTCATAAAGTACTTCCAAATGTAGTTCTTAGGTAATCTATTTTCACTTTTATTTGGCATGAATCCTTTCAAAGTGTGTATAATTCATGTAGGATGTATTATTTGTAATATTACAGAAATGGCTGAGAAAGTACCACCATTAGAATACTTTATACTTTGCTGGTTAAAATCTTTTGAAAAAATTATTCTTGGTTTGAAATTTCTCATGCTTTATCTCAGCCTGTAGATGGTATCAGAAAAATAAAGAAAATTCCACTCAGCTACTTTTCTGGCACCATGAACGAATATGAAAAAGACAGGCAGTAACAGATATTGAGAGAGTGAACTGCTGTTGATGATGATGATGATTCAATCTTCACAAATATTATAGACCAAGAGAAGACATTTAATGTTTAGAGCTATACTATATCAAACACATATTTGAGAGTTGTGGTTCTTCACCAGTAAAAGCATTTTTAAATGCCTTTTAGAGAGAGAAAAATAACTTACTAGTGGATTTTACATTCCTAACAACTCCAAGTGATATGCATATATATATAATAGGTGTATGTATATGTATATATTACATATGTATATATGTAAATATACAGTTCTTTCTTATCCAAGGAGGACACATTCCAAGACCCCCAGGAGATGCCTAAAACCATAAATAGTACCAAATCCTATGTATACTATATTTCTTTGATCTGATAACCAAGACAGCTAAGTGACTAATGGGCAGGTAAGCATCTACAGTGTGGATACACTGGACAAAGGGATGATTCACATCCCATGACACAAGATTTTATCATGCTACTTGGAACAGTGCACAATTTAAAACTTATGAATTGTTTATCTCTGGAATTTGTGTTTAATAGTTTTGGACCCTGATTGACCACAGGTAACTGAAACCTCAGAAAGCAAAACCGCAGATAAGGGGACCACTGTTTATGTGTAATGTGCAAGTGTGTTTGTGTGTACAGATACATACATATGAGTGTACAATATGTGCATGTGTGAGTATGTATATATCAGTGAGAGCAACAAAAGATAATGAAAGTAAATTAGTTGTGAAAAGTGATAGTAGAGCAAGGGTTTAAAAAATACACTTCTTAAATTTCACCCAGGACCTGAACTCTGCACCATTTATTTGTCCATTCATTCAAAAATTAGTAGATAATTTTTGAGCCCTCACCATGTGTCAGGCACTGTTTAGACCCTGAGTAGACAACAGCAAATAAATTGGGAAAGTCCTTTGCCTTTTTGAGCTTGTTCTGGTAGAGGAGACTAACTGTAAAGAAACAGGTAAATTTATGGCATGTCATGTGTGATTAGTACTATGAAGAAAAGTAAAGCAAAACCAAAGAACAGAGAGTGATGGGGAGCAGTAGTAATGTTGGAAAAGACGGCCAGAAAGGCCTCTCTGAGAAGTCCATACTTTCTCCAAGAGCAAATGAAACAAGTGAACCAGCCGTGTGAATCTGAAGAACATTCTGGGCAAAGGACATCATGGACATGGGTCCCGAGTGAAGCATATTTGTAGGAGAGCTGATGCAGAGAGAACAAGGAAGACAAAGTCAACAAAGGGATCAGAGGTTAAATAATGGTAGGGACTTTGGACTTTATTTCCTACTAAGATGACAAGACATTGGAGGGTTTGAGGAGAGAAGTTACAAGATATACATACTCTTAAAGGACATGGACTAGAAACTATTGAAGGTTTACTTTAGCATATAGCACAAATGCCAATGACTTAAACACATGAAGGCTTGTTTTTCTATCACAAAAAGTAATCTCAGAGGTGGGCAGTCCAAGGCTAGTATGGCAACTCCAAAGTCATCAGGGTCCTGTGTTTCTCCCATTCTTTTGCTTCCCCATTATTAACAAGTCACTTCTTGGTCCAAAATGGCAGCTGGAAATGTAGCTATCACATTTACATTCCAGGAAGTAGGAAACAGGAAGAAAGAAGGACAAATAGGGTATGCCTCCTACTGGGACAGCTCTACTTTAGGAAATTTCCCAGATGTCCCTCATGACACTTCTTACATTTTACTGGCCAGCTCTTAGCCACAGCCTATGTCTAGCTGCAAAGAAGGCCAGGAAATATTGTATTTTAGCTGGGTACGTTGCTGCCACAAAGGAAATTGGGGTTCTGCTATTACGGAAGACAAAGAATTGGAAACACAGGGACCAACTAAGAGGCAATTTGAAATAGTCCAGGTTAAAAATTACGATGGTTAGAACTAGACTGATGGTAATGGAGGTGTTGTTGTATAAGGAACACATGGAAGATCCAGCCAACAGGATTCACTGATGGGTGGGTCACAAAATGTGAGAAAAAGAAAGAAGTCTAGGATACCACCAAGGTTTCTGGCCTTAGCCATTGGACAGTTCTAATAAGTGAGATGGGGAAGCTTCTCAAACTTTCATTTTGTGTGTATATTAATAGGGGTGTGATCAAAACATGTGTCAGACACAAATGATAAGCTCTTCACCTCCTCTACACTATCCACCCACATCCTCAACACACTGATTTCTCCAGTCTAAATTCTGCTGCACTGCCTGCATCTCCTGTTTTAGAACTAGAAATTTTACTCTTTTATGTTTGCTCCCTAATTATTTTTTTCTTCAGTAATATTACACATAACTGACATTAAGTATTGTTCTTCATTTTTTCTTCTATCCCTCACAGAGTCCTCAGGTCATATAATAAACATTCACAAATAATCTGTTGAATAAAATTTGATCTGTGCCCTTTCCCTTCTCATTCTTTCTAGGAGCCACAACCTACATCTTTAGGATAAAAATCTCAGAGTTTCACTCTAGGCAACCCTGCTCCCTGCCAACAACCCCTGCATCCTATTGGTACAAAAACTGGTACCCACTACTTCTCCTCACATTCCTACCAACTCTCCTCCTCCCCAAGAGAAAGACAGGAAACTTCAGATAGTCAACTCCCTTTCCACAGGGTGAAGGCTTGCCCTTCCAAACCTAGATCACTCATTCTAAATGATGAGAGTAAAATATTGTCTAAACCAGGAATATTAAGAAAAACTGCTATGGGAAGGTGACAGTCTGGGGCAAGTATTTGGGTTGTTTCAACTTTGAAATCTGTGTGTGATGAGCCAAGTGTATATACACACATCTTATCCTCCCTCTCACCCTCTTCTCCTTCTTCAGTCTCTGGTCTTATCACCACTGTTCTTTAATTGAACATTTACCTGGAAGTAATAGTACATCCGGAGACTCCATAATCCAAGCTGGGAAACTTCTCCCAAATGGTTATAGCAATACAAGGCTAAGACCCTTGAACACCTGAAAGGTGCCCCATCCTTCAGCAGAACTGGACTCCTATAGGAAGAGTCCTGATTAAAGGCCTGTCAAGAGCATCTTTTTGCTGAGATGAGGCTTTAAGTCTGTAATTTTCCTTTGTCGTTGCTAGTCCTTAGGTAGTTGGAGGCTTTCAATAGATCAGCACTCCCCCATAGCCAATAGCCACACACACATGCACAAGCACACACACGCACACACCCCACAAAGACAAGGCAAGAGCCCAAGCTGACAGACAATTTCCCCTTCTAAAGGGCACTAATTAACTGATTTGACTAAAAACTTCTCTTTGCTACCGGGGGGTGGGGGGGGGAACTTCCAGAATATAAAATGATAAAATGCTTAATCAGAAAAAAGCTGATGCAGTCTGTAAGAAACAGGTATCAAAATTACATTAGTTCATCCCCTTCAAAATATTTTATTTCATGTAGCCATGCTCTTACTTTAACAAGAACAAATATTTGTGTAAGTGTTCATTATATTTATAGTAAAGAATAGTGTTTTAGTGCAGAGTTTTATAGATATCCATAACTAATCACATCTCCCAAGCAATTTTCATTTGCCAATGAACAGAAACACTGTGATAACCATTCCTTATTATCAGCTACTGAAGTAGGCAATGATTTTTATTCTCACTTAGCAGATAAGGAAAGAAATGCAAAAAAGGTGAAATAATTGACTTGGCCATTTGGCAGTGTGGTAGAAGAGTTGAAATTTGAATTCTCAGACTCTTCCAACTTCCTAGACCCTAGAGCTATATGGCTAGTTTTGCAATAAAGAAACCTATTTATATGACTTGCCACGGGATCAAGAAGTTAAAACCACAACAGGGCAAAAGCAGGAAGACATTGCTTTCTTGGCAGGGAATTTCAAAGGCAACAGCATTAACTGATTTCAGAGCATTTTGCTATACTGTGGGGGCTGCCCTGGAGAAGCAAGACTACAAAGTACTTGAATAAAGAAGTATATTCTTTGAGAAAGCTGTTAACCTTCTTGTTTTTAAGAAATTAAAATAATTAAGCTCTGTGCTTATGAGTCCAAAGAAAGGCCTTTCCCTTTGAACCTTCTGACCACTTCTTCCTTTTCATAGTAAAAATCTCAATTTGGTCTGAGAATAAATTGTCGACCAAGTTCTGGAACTTATCCAAAATTTCCTCTCCCTCCTGCCCCCTATAAGAAATAGAATGACATAGAACAATGTCACTGATCTTCAAACTCCACAGACCTTTAATGTGCAGGAAGTTGAGGATGCTGGTATTAGTGTCAAGCAGTAGCAATTGGCCATTCTCCACTGTGACATTGTCGCCATCTTGTGGCACTCTTTCAGGAAACCAGCTGTGAGCCCTGGACCACCTCCGGCAGAACTGAAAGGAAAAGTTGCCCTGGAAAACAGAAAGGTGGTTTGTTTGCTTGCTTTTTTATTTTTCAGCAGAATAGTATAGATGATCAATCAAAATAAAAACTTCCCGAAGAATGCAAAATTAATTTATATATTTTAAATGTGTCAATAAAAGTAGTCACGCCTCTCTTCCCAAAAGAGGCAAATATACCTGACGTGCTCCTGGAATGCTCCAACAATATACTGGTCATGTTTTCTTGACTTTTTTTCCCCCAGCAGAGGCCCCCTTCTACCTGACAGATGGGGTTGATTCCATTTTTTATTTTTACAGACATATATTGAGTCTTGGACAAAAAGTCATAAATAGCCTGGAATAGGGAGAATTAAAATGTTCTGCTTGATGGGTGGCATTTTGCTTTATGTAATTGCTATCATTTTTCACTGGCTCTACTGCCAAGTGTACCTGTTTTATAGGAACATTCTTCTTTACAAGTGGTCAGATCCATCCTCCCACTCGGCCTTTTTTGATATTATTGTTGCCTTTCCCTCTGTGCTTGCTGCATCAGTGCTGAACAAAGCTCAGGCGTGCATAAGTGAAATGCTGACCAACTTCACATGACAAGTAAAATAGCCAGGAATGCTTGAGTGAGGGGCAGGGAGCAGCTCTGAGAGAAGGACCCCAGAAAAGGAAGCACCCTTCTCCTTACCAGGCTTCCATCCACCTCTCAGAACTTTTGGCTTTCCTGTTAATTTATGGTCACTCTGAAGTCATGTGTTTTTCAAAACAAGTATGTACAAATCACAGAAAGAAGTATTCAGCTAATGCAAGAGGCTTAGAACATGTCTAAGTGTCTTGTGAAGCTATGGAACTATAATTATGATAAACATAATAAAACCGGAATAGAGAAGATGATTCCCTCAAAGTAATACGTACACTACGTTTATTCCTCTGTCCACATAGTCTTCTTCTCAACCACATTTCAACCAAATGTGAAGCCTGAGTTCCTATAAAATAAACTTTCTAGAAGGTTCTCTTGTGACATGTTAGAGGCAGATGGGAGCAGATCATTAAGAAGGGAAGGCATGTTTGTAATACTGACAACTACACCTGCATAGAGAATAGTGCCTTAGAGTATTTCTGAGAGAGAAAATGGAAAATTATATTGCCAGAAGAGCCAGCATATTTTCCAGAAGAGGGCACTGACCCCTAGGTCAACAGTCTTGAGTTGCAGACCCAGCCCAATCACCAAGAAGACTTTGGGTAAGAAAAGCATGGCCTTTTCATTTTCTACATCTACAAAGGAGAAATAAAATTCTATGCCTCATCCTAATTTAAGAGATGGAAAGGAATAACACACAGTGATAACCAGTCCCAGCAACACAGAAAAAGAACGGGTTGTACATGAGCATCATTGTAAGCCATATAAACCATGTCCCCATGATGACAATTCATTGACTTGAAAAGCAGGAGAGAATTTTAACTTTCTGGCTGATTTCACTAGAGGGCTAACTAAAAAGAAGTAAAATAACGAAAAGTACTTCTTATAAGGCTGTACATTATATGTTCTTATGATCCTTTAATTCACTGTCATAAAATACAGAAAGACGAAAGAGAGGCAAATAGGCAACTGGAGTGGAAACTGGAGTGGAAACTGGAGTGGTGAGAAGGTGAAAAAGACAGATACAGTAAAGTCAACTGCTCAGAAGTGAACCAGGTTGACTGTATTGTCAGCTCAGAGTTCATGATAAAAGAACATTTGAAGACACTTTGATTTCCAGAAAGCCAGAGTTGGAAAGGATTCTAGGAAAATCCTACCTCTTCATTTTAAAGATGATGTATCAAGCAGTGTTTCTCAGTTTACAGGTTAATAAAATGCAAATTACCTAAAAGTCATAAACCTATGGATGGCACTATGCCCAGCAGGTGGGACCCATGAATTTGTAATTTTAATGATCTCCTCAGATGACACTTCCACATCAAAATCTGAGGACCAATGCAAGGCAAGGACGAGAGGAAAAGGACATATATTCAAAATAGAAATGAAGAAGTTTTCTCCAAACCAACGCCCAAAGCTTTGGGTCTTTGGTCAAGGTCATCCAAAGACTAGCAAGCTGGCTAGAGTGGTGTGTGGATGAACTATAAAAAGAATGAAGAATTCAGCAGCATAACTCTTTCTGGACCTACCTGGTAGTCAGATCCGTAGCCCAGCCACAGAATTACAAAGAAAACCAGGGTTCATGACACCCACAGTGAAAAGATTTAGAACAACTAGACATTAATTAGCTATTTATGAGGATCAAAGAAAGACCATTTCATGGTGGTCTTGATTAACTAATTTGAAAACATTTTAAAATTCTTACAGTTAGCACCAATATATGTTATCTAGCTCTGAGTGAGTTTTAAAGACTTTCTTTCTTGCTCTGAAGCACCTGTGTGTACCATCAGCTGACTTCCATGTGATAAAACATCTTGGCCTGGCCTGTCAACCTCCAAAAATTACAATACTCAGCCCCAACTAAGAAGTTAGGAAGACCAAATATTATCTCCACTTTACAGTGGAGAAAGCAAAGGCACAAAGTGTTTAAATCATGTACTGAAGGCCATACTGGAGATGTGCAAAGCATGTGGCCTCTCCTGGGATGCTCTTCCCCCAAATATCTGCATGGCTCACTCCCTTGGTTCATTCACGTCTCTGCTCAAATATCAACTCCTTCCCTGTATCCTTATTTCTAAAAAGCACTTCCAATCACTCCCTCTCCCCTAATACTGCTTCATTCTGCTATTTATTTATTGAGCTTATTCAATAAAGCAGGGACTTTGTTTTGGTCATTGCTATATCCCCATTCCCCTAAAAAGTGTCTGACACATAGTACAAGCTCAATTAAAAATCATTGAAAGAATTTATTAAATTAATCTACCTGCTGATCCCACACATGCTTTTACAGATACACACACACACACACACACACACACATCTTCCTGATACAGAAAGTGAACAGATGCTAAAACCAAAAATGCTTAAAAATGCTTCATCGCTAGCTCGTTTGATCCATTGGGTTTGGCCCATACACTTTCACTTCTTTTTCATATTTTCAAGCTCTGTTTAAACATAAACCAAATAATAGAGAACACTTCTAAATAGAACCTGAGACTTAGATTCAGTCTCCCTATGAAATCTTCCATTGATTTTTTTTCACCTATTTCACCTATAAGTTTCTCTATTCAATATGGCAGATTTCAAGTAAACACACGTTAAGAATTCAGTTTCAAGACACCTAAGCTTCTTTGTACCCAAATTTCTCCTTGGTATAAAAAGAAATCTTGAAATGTATAAATGTTTATTAATGATTTATGCTTTTGTACAAAACTAAATACTGAAAGGTCTAAGAATTGATGCAGCCTCGACTACTTAGCAGCTACCTGGGGAAGTAGAAGAGCAATTTATCCCCATGATTCCAACTTGTCAGTGAAATCCATGATTAGAAGCACGTTGCCATAAGTATTTTAGCTCTCCTACATTTTCACAGTTGACAGGGATGGTGGCACCATTTGTTACGCACAATTCCCAGGGCAATGCTCCATGAAACAGCAAGGAGAGCTCACCTTCCAATATCTTTATCCTCTGATCCCTATCACTTTGATCCACTCAAGCAAAAAAAGAATGCTGGCTGACAGCACCGATAAAAGATTCCTTGTCAATATATTTGAGAACCTCTCTGTTGATACCAACATGATGTTTCTGGTGAAGGCCATGCTCCATATCACCAACCAGCTCATAGGCAATGTAGGTTTCACCTTCAACTAATATAGGCTCTTTTCACTATAGTTCCCAAGGTGTTCTTATTTAGTTATTTTATAATTAACTTTAGTTTTAGTTTGCTTCTTTGAGATAAACAAATCATTCATTCCCATTCTGCAGGAAGAGAAAATCATTTCTTTACAGGCATATCAGGGTAGGTGTGGAAATACAGGTATAAAAACTGTCCAGAACATGCTCTAATCTTTACCTTAATACATACAGCCCCAAATAAACCAAAAAAAGGGAAAAAACTTTCCTGCCTCAGCTAGGAAGCTTATGCAATTCGTTTTCTTCTTACAGCATGTCAGCACTTCTCTGAACTTCAGGGAATGTGCAGTGTCTGCAAATCTTACATGTCACCTTAAATGTACTTGCAACACCACCAGAGTTATCTTGAAAGAAGTCATTGATCAGCAAGTTGGAACACCAGGCAAAGCGAAGACCTATTTGTGAGCGTATGCATTGAGCTGGGGTTGCAGAGGAAGTGGCGTATGTGAATCTCTCTATTCACAGTGTCTCCTAGCTGACAAAGACAGGGAAGGACTGTTTTGACAACTCACCAGAATGCCCAAGTCCTGGAAATAGGAAAAGACAAGTCCCTGTAACTTATCCTACTTTATTTTTTCCAGAGCACTTACCACTACCTAAAGCATTGTATATTTGTTTATAGCCAGTCAACACCTAATAGAATGTAAGCTTCACAGGAGCTTCTTGGTTTTCTGCTGAATCCCCTGTACCTACAATAATGCCTGGCATGTACTGGGTACCCAAAAACTACATTTGTATGAATGAATGAATGGTCAACTCCAATTTAGGTTTATTATCACTACACCATAATTAAAAATATTTTAATAACTAAAATGATTTAATACAAAGGTGTAATTTTTTTTACTTTGATTCAGTGCTCCTTTACATAGAAATGCTTTTAACTTTTATAAAACCAAATTTACCTTTTATTTTTTTGTTTACATTTTTATTTTTATTTGTGACATTCAGTTATTTTATTTTTTTAAATGATTATTATTTATTATTAGCACATTCATTCTTACAAATCGTGATATTTCTTTATGCCTTTTACCCAACCTATCACTTTATATGGCATCCTTTATTCATTTTGACATAAATATCACTTACATGTTCTTCTTGATTTGTAGGGTTTT